AGTTTGCAAACGTACGGCTTTGCAACTCGAACCGAGCTGAACTATTGGGTAGGGGGTGCCAGTGATGCAGTCCTATAAAACTGTAGGTTGTCAACCTACAGGTTCAATCATTGCTTAAGTAAACCTGGAGTTAGCAAACGTACGGCTTTGCAACTCCAACCCAGCTGAACTATTGGGTAGGGGGTGCCAGTGATGCTGTAAAACGGTAGGTTGTCAACCCACGGTTTAGTGTAACCCAGCTGAACTATTGAGTAGTATTGGGTAGGGGGTGCCAGTGATGCTGCCCGTTGGCAACTGTCGCTCGCCGACCGTTGCATCATATCGCCGAGCGACGATGAGATCCGCCACCTGTGGCTTTACGCCGTGGAAGAAGAGGAACTCGTTGCAACCTCCGCAGGTAGGAGCAAGAACGCTACGAACGGAGCGGTCAGGGCAGGGCATCGCTACGAACGGAGCGATCGGACGCAGTAGGTTGGAGGCCATCGCTCTTAGGTTGGAGGCCATTCCTCCGTGGGGTCGCGGACGTTCACAGTAGGGTGAGAACTTTGGCCGCAAAAACCATCTCCTCCTTGGGAAAGTTGACGAAAGAAGCCGATGGATCCTGGAGAGACCCAAGTAATCACGGTGAAGGCCCAAACAAGCATGATTCTTCAATACTATCCAAGGGTTTGTGGGTTGGTTGGCTGAGTCTTGACACACACACACACACACCCACACACCCACACACACATGGACATTCTACAGAATAGTTTCGTATTCAATATCTGACTGGTGCTTAGTAGGGAATAAGGGAATGAGGCCCCAATAGAGATTCTATTGGATCCATTCCCTCATTCCCTGCGAGAGGCACCAGTCAGATATGTTTGATTGGATGCTCGGAAAGCTGATTTACTTCAACCCAACCCATCAAGCAGTTCTTTTTCGCGCACGTAGACGACGTGCGCAGCCTTCGAAAAGAAAAGGCCAGGAAGCTAAGGGAGTTGTATATAAAGTACAAAGATATGTATAAGCACTGACCATAATTTGACCATAGTACATAATACTTCTGCTTGAACACATTGATCAGGTTCCTACATAATACTTCTACTCCCCTTTTGCAAGGCTTTTGCTTGAAAGGGCTATTTTCATGGCGAAGGGTCCTACCGTAGCGTGCTTGTCCTCCTTTTCACCCCTCGCGATTCGGGTTGATACTTCTGCAAGATCAAACAGATTCTGCCTGTCACACTTCGACGACGCGGATCAAAGCAAAACAAGCTTGTGATTCTGGCTTGGTACTTTGAAAGCTAGTTCACCAAAAGGGCACACTGATTTTGTGGTGATGTGGGCACCTGTGCAGGGGTTTAGGCCGTCTTTCTTTATCACAAAGACTCCTTGAATCTCCTGAAATGCTCCTTGGAAGAATGCCCATTGCAGGTCTTCGGAATGCATTTCCCAAACTACAGGCCCCAAACTACAAGCATCCCAAACTACACAACCCCACACACCCTCCCAAGTTCCATCAACTACTACTGGTTTCCTCCTCTGCCAGGGTGGCAAACCCCGTCCAAGGCACGAGAATCCAAGGGCGACAATCGACAGGCGTTGGCGATTTCATGGCCCAAGGCTTCCTCGGAGCGCGAGGAAAGCGATCCACACCACGGATTGGGGTTTCCCAGGAGGCCATCCCTAGCAGGTGGGAGGTGGGAGGCCATTGCTAGTAGCTTGGAGGCCATCCCTAGTAGCTGGCCCTCAGCGGAGGAGATGATTCGCCGGTGTGGAGCGGGTTTTTGGTCCGGTCCGCAAAAGACGAGTTGAACCATGTGGAAGCGATGAGAAAATTGCACCACCGAGTTCAGGTAGTTTATAGACATCCCCTGACCAACAGACGTTCTCCAACCTTTCCCACGTTTTGGGGTCCGGCCGCGGCGAGACGGCCGCGGCGAGACGGCCGTGGCGAGACGAGGCAAGTTTCGAACGATGTCCACGTCCGGGATGATTCGAGGGGGGACGCTTCACTCATCGAGGTGGAACGCCATCCACGTCCACCATTCGACCTCTCGTCCGGCGAGTCTCCGTCATGACGCGACCGCTCCACTCCTGCCACTGCTCTTGTGACAAGGGTGCATACCTGGGCGAGGGAAGTGGTAGCATGGTAGGGTCTGAACTGCTTATTCAGTGATGGTAGGGAAACCGGAGAAAAAAGAAGATGAGTCGGACAGTCGCCTGTACTCTCTAAGATCAGGGCTTCAAGCCAACCTGGTTTGACTATCACTCATTCTGGAACATATCATATCCTCTATCCAAAAATCATGGACTTGGACAATGGCCCTACACAGGAAATATATGGAGATATCGTTTCTCTGGGCTCCTGATCCTTAGCTACCATGCAGAGGCTGAACGGGAAAAGACACGTCATATCCAAGCTTCCTTAGCCAAGAAAGCTGTCAGGAAGTTCAACGAAACCGTTTGTTGGAAAATCATGTTTTGAGTTCAATAAATGAGCTAAGACACGACTCAACGGATGTGGGTTGTTCAGTTTCTTCACCCCATGTCATTCGCAAAGGGTCACCCCATTTGACCCCGTGTTGCTGCAGATGGTCTTCTCGCAGACCGAACCGTGCGCTCCGCTCCCCCGGTCAAACCATCGGTCGGACCGACCCTCCCACCAAGCTGAAGCGGTGACCCGACCGGGTGGGGTCTCCCCCGTCAGCAGTCGTGCGCGTCGGACGTCCGAGCCACGGATCGCGGTCCGGAGGATTGCAATCCTTCACGATCTCCTCTCTCCGGCGGTGGTAGTTCTCCCAGGACGCCTGGTTTGTTGATATAGAAACACGAGCGAGCGGACAAAAACGCATGGGCTTGCCCGAAGGTGAAGACTCTTTGGATCAAAGGAAAAGGATGAGCAAATGAGGACTTCTGAATCTGAACAACACGTGCTTCCAGGAACTCAATGACTCACCTGCTGGCCTTCTGTGTCTGGCCCAGAGACTAAATATGATCAACACTAACACATTCTTAGAGTATGTATGAGATCGTATGAACACATGCTAAAGGCCAGGTCTTCCCCCCGGATACCCCCCCATTCTGCTTTGTCACTCTCGCCGGGAGTCGTGTTCGCCGACGACTCCTCGAGATCTCTGGTTTTTGTCGTTTCGTTCCTGAGGGATCGTCGTTTTGCTGATGCATGGTTGCAAAGGCAGAGTCAACAGCGTAGCCTACTTCCGAAGTTGATTTTGCAAACCGTTTCAGTTGATTTTTCATGTTGCACCACACTCTCGAACTCTTGAAACATGTTTCTTCTCGACATTTCCGCTTGGCAACCAATTCCACCGGTCTCTTCCCTCTGACCTCGTATACCTCTCTTGCCTCGGTCGACCGAAGCTCGCTGGCGCCTGATTCTGAACTTCGGTCACCCGCGTCACCTCGAAGCTGTCCGCGATCTTCTCTCCATCGCCCCGCGTCTTCCGGTCGCGCGTCCAGCGCTTCCTGAGCGAAACAGGGTGATGTCTCGTTGAGATGCCGGAAGGAACAAGTGGTTTCCGGACAACTTGCAACAGAGCTGAGTCCTGAACACATCAAAGGAAACAAAAACAGAGCGCACAAAAACATATCGCGCAGGCAAATCTGTGCAACACACATGCCAAGGCTTGTATTGTTTTTGATAACGGTTTTCGAAGCCCAAACAGACCTAGACCCAACGCGCAACGAAGGCTTTGGATAGGATTTCTTTTTTTGTTGAGCGTGCGTAGTAAGGTCGCGCAAGTTGTCAAGCCAAAGCTCAACGCAAACCATGCCTTTTCCATTTCTACCATGAGATCCGTTCCCCATCTCACGTTTCCAGCCGCCACCTTCTCGAAACACGGCAGCACCAAGGAGCTGATGGGTAGAGGTCATCAACGCTTGGAAAAGCTGCAAAGCTCGATCACTGTTCACCGGCGCCTTCCTGCAACAACGGTTTGGCACGGTGCTAGGGTGTCTGGTCGGGGAAGGTGGTGTCCAAGTACCTAGCCGCAGGGAGTGGTAGAAGAAGTTGCCCAACACTCGATGCTTGAGGCCTGTTGCTCAGCTAGGAGCAGCGCTGGAAGTATTGTTTGGGCAAGATGCAGTTCAACCCACCAAAGAACACTGAAAACTCGCCGCGCACAGCCACTAGGGGACCTGATCATGTGGGAACCCAAGCCCGCGAGGTGGGCCGCGCGGGCTTGGCCGCGCAAGTGAATCAAACACATGATGTATCGTAGGTGAATCAAACGCCAAGAGAAAGTGTAAACCAGCAAGCCCACAACTCGCAGGTTCTTGAACGAATATTCTTGAAACAGCGATAGCTGGGCTGGGCTCAGGTTCCCGTAGCTGGTGCTGTCGCAACAATGCTGTTCCCGGAAACCAACTGAGGCGCCGCTGGCTCATCGCCCTCATGATCCTACAAAAAGGCAACAAAAAAGCTTTCCCGCACTGAAGACGTTCTTTATTTCTTTCAAAAAGGGGGCCACCACAATGGAAGTGAACATGAACCCCCACCCCACCTCAAGCGAACCAACGACTGACGCGATCCGCAGGGCCGCCCCCGGCGCTTTCAACACAAGGATGTCGCTGATCATGGATATCACCATCCCATGTGGCGCCGAAAAACCACACGTGTTTTTCGCCACAAAGCACCTCGGGTGACAATTTCAAGAGACACTCTCTGCCCCTGGCGGTCCTGAACATCTTCTCGGTCCCCAGAAGGTCTTCCAAATTCCAGCCTCGCCGTCATAGTCGCGCAAGTCGCGCCAAAAAGACGGCACGGCCCCCGTCTCATTCCGAACCGGCTTTTTCTTCTCGTTGGTACCAACAGAGGCTAAGTGACCGTAAACAGGCCCTACTGGGGTACCTATAGGACAGTCGAACTAGGTTTCTTCAACCTCTGCTGGTACTGTATAGCCACGGCGACCAGGTCCTTTCTACCTGCGCCGCGCCGTCCGGAACGACCTTTTGCCGGAAGACGGTGAGAGAACGACACGCCGGAACACACGCCGGTGCCGGGTCTGCGTGCCATACGAAACGAACGTGTCAGAACGTGCGATACGAATTGATGCCAGATTAAAGGTCGGACTTGGTTGCAGAATAGATGCCAGAATACATGACAGAACGGATGTCGGAATACAATGTCAGAACTGAATTCGGAATATATGCAACAATATATGCACAAAAGAACAGAACACATGCCAAACTTGATGCGAGAGAAGTACATGCCAAGAGATATGTCAGAATACATACATGGCAGATCATGTCAGACTTCACGGCAGGACAAATGTCAAAACAGATGTCAGAACACAAGCCTTTATCCTAGATGATCTTGATGCCAGAACCATATGTCAATACACATGTCAGGCAGCGTTGGTCAGGGTGTGTCAATACATGTGCCCTGCTTCTTCCAAGTCGACTCTTATGGTGGGGATCACTCGAGGTTTTCTGTGTTTTTTTTCTGCAATCCTTCAGACCAGGTATTTGCTTGAAGGGCTTGAACACGACCGGCGCGGCCCGTGTTGAACGCGTGGCTGGGAACCACAGCCTTGGCTGTGGCTTGGATGGGCCGATGGACAGGCCGAGGTTCGCAGCAAGTGTCCGAGGTCTACAGCAGCAGCCGGGTCGAACGGACGAGTCTTCGGTAGACCCATTACCCCCGGTTCACTGACCCATAAGCCCCGGTTCCACGCTGCTTCCCCTGGGACGGTCCCAAGGTCTCACTCAAACCTCACGGCAACACTTCCAGTATAGCTGAAAAAACGTCTGAAACGAACCAATCCCCTCCACCTGTGAAAACCCAGTGTCCAATCTGGTTCACCCGGGTTGCGTCCCGGCCTGGCGGCAGATGCGCCTTCTCTTTCAAGATGTCCAGCGCCTTGCGGAACTCCTGGACGAACGACCGTCGCGTTCGTACGTCGTGCACGATCCGGTGGCACGGTCGAGGGTCGAACCAACAGGAAGAGGAGAAGACAGGTTTTGATGCTGTTTTCAAACCATCGCAGAGAGGTTTTTGGTTTGAGAAACAGGTGTAACTTCACAAAGAGTTTCTTCACGAAAAGGAGCACGTGTCCTTATGTATACTCACAACGGACAAATTCTGCTAGATACCGATCATACAGCTCTGAAGGGCCCTGGAGCTGCCACCGTTCATCACCCGCGGTGCCTCGCCTCTGTACGGAACAACCCCTTGATCCGGTCGCCGGTCGCTCGACGGGCGTTGCGGAACGATCGGCCACGACAGGCGCTCGATGTTCCAAACACGCGACGGCCGTCGGCAGGGGCTGAAAGGTTCCCCAACTTCACCAACTTCGCGTTCCGGCGGAGTGCCAAAAGCATTCACCAGTAGCTCCTGGCATCGCTATTAGTAGCATGAAGCTACTAGTAACGCTAGTAACATCTAGTAACAAAGGGCCACACCGCGCCCAATCCGCGCTCGCTCGCCCCTCTGCACCGACCCACCCCGCTCTGCACTCTGTGCCTCGCTCAACTCCTCGTGGCTCTTGAGATCTGGCACAGTCTTAGCAGAGATGACCTGACGGACCGTCGGTGCAACGGACCCCCGGTGCAACCGGCGATTTGGGTGTTTCCTTTGGGAGTTCGACACCGGCCCGGCAGCGTGAAAATGCATCCATTTGTACCATCTGTTGCCTTGTGCTGTGGCCTTGTTCTTCTATCCCCCAATGCCCTCCAGTTCGTGGGGGGTCGCCGTTCTTCTTCTATCCTCCCCAACGGGCGCTGAAGCTCTCTGCGGCTGAACGGCGGGATCTTTCCTCCCCGCCGGCCCCGGCCTTTCTTGGGGGGTTGATTGGAGGATGACTCCCACCCACCCCAAAGCTGAATCAAAGCTGGACAAGGGGCATCTTCGACCTACCTAATCCCATCTGATCCTGCAGACGAAAGAGATAATGAAACAATAGGTGAATCTTGGGTGACACAGGCGTCCCACCTGTTGCGCAATAGCTGGTGTCGACCTACAGGTTGAATCATGGCTTGAGCTGACCTAGAGTTTGCCAAACTATGGCTTTGGAACTCTAACCCAGCTCAACCATTGGGTAGGGGTGCCAGTGATGCAAACATACCAAACTGTAGGTTGCCAGCCTACAGCTTGAATCATGGCTTGAGCTGACCTAGAGTTTGCCACCCTATGGCTTTGGAACTCTAACCCAGCTCAACCATTGGGTAGGGGTGCCAGTGATGCAAACATACAATCATGTAGGTTGCCAACCTACGGTTGAGCTTGCAAACCTATAGTGTTGTAACTCCAACCCAGCTCAACCATTGGGTGGGGTGCCAGTGATGCAAACATACGAAACTGTAGGTTGCCACCTACAGGTCGAATCATGGCTTGAGCTGACCTAGAGTTTGGAACTCTAACCCAGCTCAGCCCATTGGGCAGGGGTGCCAGTGATGCAAACACACAAAACTGTAGGTTGCCAACCTACAGCTTGAATCATGGCTTGAGCTGACCTAGAGTTTGCCAAACTATGGCTTTGGAACTCTAACCCAGCTCAACCATTGGGTAGGGGTGCCAGTGATGCAAACATACAAAACTGTAGGTTGCCAACCTACAGCTTGAATCATGGCTTGAGCTGACCTAGAGTTTGCCAACCTATGGCTTAACCTAGCTCAACCATTGCAGTTGGGTATGGGGGTGATGCAGACCTTCTAATCATGGCTTGAGCTAATCTAGGGCAACCCCCGACTCATCCTCGGTGGCTTTTTAATCAGACATGGCGCCGCTTTCTTCAGCTCTTCAATGTCAGCGGCCTCGATGGCCTTCGTCGAGGCAAAGAACCAGAGGCAGGAGCAGAAGGCAGGAGCAAAAGCAGGCCGCACAAGACTTGCTCGATCCATTTGAGAAGCCTTCGAAGGGCTCCACTCGACTCCAAGCCATGGAAGTTTTGCACAGGTTGGATCGGAGTGTTGGTTCGTCTCACTGGAGTTTTGGTGCCCCTCATAGGTCGTGGAATTTGGTGAGCCTCTGGTGGAAGTCCTCTTCCAAGGCCCTAATTCCCCAGAAGTGACCAGAGACCACGTAACAAAAACTCAAGATTCTGACACTCCAGGAAGCTTCCAAGGTGGAGTTTCCTTCGAAAAAAAAGGCACCGGCGCCCTAAGCAGTCGGTCACCCACTTGTCCGTCTCCCTACACCTTTTTTCGCGCGGAGGGTATCCAGAGCATCGAAAAACCTGCAAAATTCTCTTCAAAGCGATGGCCTCCAACCTACTAGCGGTTTCCCTCCACTTCTCTTCACCAAAATAGCAATTTTAGACCACTGCCGCACAAAATGGCCACGGACGTCTTGCCATCAACGGACCGGTAGAGAGTTATTTTTCGCATCACGTGTGTGGTGGCCACGCCATTGTGCCTTGCGAGAAGATTCCTTCGCCTTTCGTGTGGGCGAAATGCTTTTCGCAACTGCTTCTTCCAAAATCCCCTAACCCATCTCCATCCCCCCAAAACCATGAAAAGCTCTGCATTTCCCACCTGTTTTCCTTCTCCACTCGCAACACCACGGCTTACTGGTGTTGAAGACCACAAAAAGCAAGCTTGCCGTTCCAGCCTGTCGCAGTTGGTCGAAGGCCTCCTTCTGGTTGGCGTTCATGCAGTAGGGCGGTAAGTCAACACCTCGAGGAACCAAGAACCAGGCTGGGTGAGCGGCTTTCTATCTGGTGATTTCAACACGTCTTTGGAGATCTTTCTCGGGGGTTGCATGGTCTTTGGCCAAATGGTCCGTTTGAGTCCGCAACAGGGAGCGGCCGAACCTCCGAAAGGACGGGGGCGGGCCAACTCGACCTGGTGGGTTTCGGAGATCCCGATAATGGTGTGCCGGTCCCCCCATGGGATTCACCCCATTTTTCTGCCGAAAAAACCCCACGACCATTCGAACCATCCCCCCATTTATGGCCTCGCCCGGTGGCCACAGGGCGGGTCGCCGCGACCCCGGTGCGCGTCGAAAAGCTGATCCGACGTCCGAAGATCAAGCCACGGTGGGAAGCTGGGCTAGAAGCGAAGACATGGATCAATGCAACTTCCACATGGATGGTGGAAAGACATGGATGGTGTGGCGAAGGCATGGATGAAGAACCAGGATTGAGTATATACTGTAATGATGTCTTTTTTTTACGTGAGAAACATTCATTACTCAATCCAGGAAAGGATAGGGCGAAATCCTGAAAAGGATTGAAGACATGCTGCTGCTGATATGTTTCCTGGACCTTTCCCGAAAGCGAGAAGGAGTTCTTCTTCCAAGGCGCCGGTATGCTCGCAATAGGCCACCAACCACTCTGTGATCATCGCCTCAGGCCGTGAGGCAACTAGAAATTTCACGAATTATCACTGGTGTCCAACTTCGTTCACAATCCTATCCTTCTGCTGTGGCATCACTTTTGCTGTCAGAGCTTTTCCCTGACCAAAAACAACCCCGCACAGTGCAGATCTTCTGAGAAACCAAGCTAGCTCGGCCAACGGGGCAGAACTACCAACAGAGGTAGCCGTCCGTGACCAGGACCACAGGACCCGGAAAACCTGGGGTACCTATAGGATATTATAGGATGGTCTTTAGGGGTTCTTCAACCTCTGCTGGTACATAGCTCCAGGCTTATGGAAGACATCCTTCAATTCTCTGGGCTGCCCTCGACATTCAAGGCCCTGAGCCCGGACCTTTCGATGAAAAGAACACCTCCGCTTTGGAAGTGGATGGAATTGCATCTGTCTGCCTTGATGATCAAAAATAACGACACGAGTTGGTGGATCAAACAAGAACGCACATCCTTTGGCATCTTCTGATTGCATAGCCAACGACACGCGTGTCGCTTGGACATCCGAAACGAACCCGCGGACGCAGCGGAACGAAAGGCGGGGTTCCGACGGGTTCCGGGGATCTGAAGACTGAACTCGTGTGTCTTCGATTCCTACAGAGGTAGGTAGCCAGTGACCGGGACCATAGGACCTGGAAAATTTGGGGTACCTATAGGATAGTCGAACTGGAGTTCTGACCCACCTCTGCTGGTTTTTCTCTTTTCCGAAGGCCGTCTGCTTTTTTTCGAGGTGGAAACTTGTGGGGCGCGGTCCAGCAGCCCGGGATAGCCCAGGCTTCCCGGCGACCAGTCTGGTCTTGGAAAAGCACCGAACTCAGGTTCAAACACTTAGCCCCCCCAGACTAATCCCTAGAAGTCCAGTTTGACGATCTTTTGACCGACTGAAGTAAAGGAAATTCCGACCTTCTGGTCACCTAGTCAGACCCTTTTTATAGTCGACTGGACTCTCAGGGCTAACATGGACCTGTGGAACACCATTTTCTGAATACACCCCAGTGGTGTGTTGGGGTTCCATGTGGATCGGAACGGCACGGGTATCGGTTGAAAGGTTCTGGTTTTGATGTGAAACGACCACTGCCATGAAAATCCCAACACCGTGAAAAACTGAGATGGAACGGACAGATACAAAACTGTGACATGGGAGGGATGGTAATTCTCCCAGGAATCCATTTCCGAGACACGATGTCCACACGAACCCTCGAAAACCTGACTAAACGGGTCCAAGTCCCCACACCTCCTCGGGCGATCCCGAGAGCTTTTGGCCTCTCAGGGATCCCCCCCTTTTCCCCCACGGGGATCGATCTCCATCTCAGCCCAAGTGGCCCGGTGCTCTTCATAGTTCGGCTTCAAAGCGCCAAAGAGATCCTCGTCAAAGGAGGGCCTGGCCAGAGGTTCGAAGGAAGTCACGCAAAACCCCAACAACTCTGAGGAAAGAGTTGCCATGCACTCAACCTCCCCCTGACAGTGGATACAAGACAACTTTGTCACAGAGTCACAGCCCACAAAACCAGCAGAGGTTGAAGAACCCTAGTTCGACTATCCTATAGGTACCCCAGTAAGGTCCTATGAGGTCACTTAACCTCTGTAGGAAGCTCTGCAATATACATCGCGAAGGCGTTTTTGGGCAGTTCAATACCGTCCTGAGTCCTGGATCAACTGTGCAGAAGCAAGGAGTACGACTCCCACCAACTTTCGACAGGTTGCATAAAGAAGGAAGGGCCCGCGCTTGGAGATGTGGAAATCAATGTGGAAGGAAGGCAGGAAGGCGGTGGGTAGTCATGAGCCACCACTACCCACTACCTGGCACCCTCTTCCATTGATGACCCCTTTGAGGAGCTCTGAAGGGAGATTTTCCCGATGGTTTGGAGCCACCGATCCTGCGGCGGAGCGAGAGACACACGCGACCGGGTGCCGCGCCCGAGGATCTTTTGGAAGAGACCCACTTGGTTCACCCTCTCAGGCGTGATGCTCTTGGACCTCAGTGGTGCCGACGCTATTTTTTGTGGGGGGGGTCGGCGCGGCGGCGCGCGCCGCGGCGACCCCGGCGGCCGCGTTTTGGGGCGGAATTGGACTCCAAACTCGGAGGGTGTCCAACGAGACGGGGAAAGAAGGTGTATTTCTTGGACAACAAGAAGCTACTAGTAGCTCCTGGCATCGCTACTAGTAACAAGAAGCTACCAGGGGCTCCTGGCCTTACTTCTAGGAGCAAAGGGCATCGCTACTAGTAACAAGAAGCTACTAGTCTTAGGCAGATCGGGTTTGGGGTTTGTTCTGGCAGAGGCTTGGAGTCTCGCCTCGCCTTTGTGGTACCCGACCTGTCTTGGTGTTCCGAAGTTGGAGCGCTCCAAAACCGGCGAAGTAGAGGTTCCAACACAAAAAAGTCAAACGCATGGAGGCGCAATACATCTTAGGTGAGTAACCAAGCAGGAGCCGGTAGAAAAGGAGTAAGCAGGGTCCTGAAAGGCTCCTTCAGGAGTCGTTCCCAACCTGCTTTAGCCCGAATGACCGGTATGACCAGGTATGGATGGGTTTCCTCTGTCCCAGTCGCAGAAAACACCTCGCGTCATGGAACTCCCCAAACACCAACTGCCACTTCACCACTTCCTAGGTCAAGGATCAAGAAATGGCAATATTAGAAACAAGCACCAGCAGTCACAAAGGGGTGCTTAATGGCTCACTTAGGGACTAAACACCACCCCTTTGTGACTGTTGGCATTTGGTGTTTGCTTGGTACCCTGTTATCCAGGTGCAAATCAATCGTTCCATCCACCATCCACTGACCACACGTCGCCCTAAGTCCTGACGACGCGCCGTGATGACCGAGGTACATGATTGCCGTGTGGCACTTCTTCACCAAGGGCCCCTGTAAGGACTTCACCACCGCCGTGCCGTCCACATCAGGGAAGTCCTGTCCACACCGTTGACACACCGTACACACCCGCTGCGATGGCCTCCAACCGACTAGCGATGGCCTCAACACACCACACACCACACCCGGAAAAGTGTTTTCCTCATGTGTGTGTGTGTGTGTGCAACTCTTCGTACCGGGCCGATGTTTCTTTTTTTCGTACACATGCTATTGGTTCCGTTCGTCGCCAGGAGCGCCCCGTTCGTCGCGACGGTCGCGACGCCCGGCATCGCCGCTGGGCGTCTTGACCGATGGTCGAACCTTGCAAGAAGACATGGTCTTGACCGCTTCGGCGGTTCCAACCGCGCCATTCCTTGGAAGAACTCCGTGCCCACTCCGGGAAGAGATTGAGCCATTGATTGGAAGTCTAGGGCTCTCCGCATCTTTCGAGGTGGGGAGTTTTCGGGTGGACCGAAACACGTGGACCCAACACGACACCTATAACGTTCAACCGTTCATTCCCACTTTTTCCCATATTCACCAACAGAGGCTGAAGGACCCTAGTTCGCCTATCCCATTAAATACCCCAGGTGACAGGTCGTTCAGGTCACTCAACCTCTCTTGGCAGTTCACATTCTCCTGAACCGAACCCTCTCCACCGACCGATCGACGGCCGCTTGACCGACCCGAAAAACCCGCCACCGATCGGATCGCCGGTTCGGACCGTTCGGGCCGTTCGGGCCGTCCTTGGCGGATTGCACCAGCTCCACACTGGTCTGCAGCGGCTGCTGCGAGTGCAAGGCGCTGTTCAGCCGTTGCTTCAGCCATTGGCTCACCTGGGTTTGAAGCGTTCCGATGACCTGAAAAAGGATCCGGTCCATTTGGGGTGCCTATAGAAGAGTCATGAATCGTCATAGTACTAATAAGGTTCTTCCACCTCTGTGTGGGGTGGTTTTTCGGCCGTTTTCGTTTCATATGCGGCGGTTTGCCACCTCTACAGCAAACCAACTAGTAGAGAGTTGACTCCGTCCGAAGCCACTGATGTGTCAGTTCAGTGATCCTTTTTCTTCGCTGTTTGGTGAAAGAAGAGACCGACACATCAGTCAAGGGTCCCAACAGAGGTTGAAGAACCCTATAGACTATCCCATAGGTACCCCAATAGGGTCCTACCGGAGATTCCGACGACACGAAAGCGAACTCGGTCTGGACCTCCTTCCACACGGGTCCGAATCGGGGCAGGCTTCCACCGAAGGCTTCCATGGGGGTAGGGTTCGTGAACGGGGAAGAATGTCCCTAAAACCCACTCACTTCCAATGTGCGCAGTTGCTGTACCCACCCACCATTCTCGCTATAGAACACATGCATCTCATGACTCAAAGACGAATGAACACCTGGCGCTGTTCCTGTGAGGAAGTCTTCACCTTCGTGGACTTGATCTCCTTGAAAAACGCAGCGTGCACCGTTTGTGTTGACCCGCAAGCCTCCCAAGGGTTGCCTGGAGAATTCGGGTAGTAGAGACCTGAAAGTTCATGCAGTATCATGCAGTGGAAATGCACATGTTGTGTCAACTGTATTACACTCCCTAGACATGTGGAGCTCAACCTAGCTTGTTGGCATATTTTGCACCAAAACCTTAAGCTCATTGGACATGTGTGTAGGCACACTTGTGTAGGCACACTTGACTTTGCTGTGACGAAGGCACTCAGGTACTCAGACCCACCGGTGACCTCCCTTTCGTGCTTCTCATTCATCAAAAGCACAAGGATGCGAGCGCAAAGCGAGCGCAAAAGCACAAGGAGCGGATGGGATGGCCCCCGAGATCGAAAGACCATGTTAGTTCCTCTACCAACCCGGGGGTGAACTCCTCCAACTCCAGGGAGGGGATCTCCAACGCCTAACGTCCCCGGTCTCCTCACGGTGTGACGAGTCTAGGGACGGGCCCCCAAAGCTTGGAAGTCATCACTGACCTTGAAACATTCAACTCGGATGAGATGCCCGCGGATGAGCTCAGTTCCGAACTACCAAGTAACTATATACATCACTATGGTCATTCCCACAGTCATTAGTCAGCGATGTCTGTACTTCGGAAGAATAGAGAGGGGTCGGTGCCAGGTACCATCCATCCATCCATCCATCCATCCGTACACGAGCGGGGGTGTCTCCCCCTCTATTGATCCATCAACCACTGGTGAAAGGCCATCGAAGCCTGAGTCCACATCTCACCCTCTCGTACCCCGCCTTGCGCGCCCTACGGACCCCGCCTTGGGCGCAAAGTCCTTCTTCCATTCGCCCAATTGCCTCGGCATACCCCAACCCGTCGGCCAACTTTCCGGCAAACGCCTGGTGGGTGGTTGGGTTATTGACAGGTTGAGGTTTGGGAGGGCTTTGGTAAGGCATCAAGACCTTTCGCCCTGGGGGGAAGCAAGCGGAAGCAACCATGAAGCCACCCCGTCCACCTGGCCTCCCACAGTGGGATTGACACGGTCCATCGATTGAGAACATCACTGGGGAATCTTCCACTTCACTCCTGCAGCCCTCGGCAACACCACGGCCGGCCAACACCACGACCAGCTCTGACCAGCTCTGACCGTCACGGCCAGCCCCCCCGCCCCTCGCCCGCACGAAGCCGTTGCCAAGGCACATGGCGCGCGCGGCGAAGAGGATCGCCTTGATGGTTCCAAAGCCTTGAGGATCGCGCGGCGAAGCCGCTCAGCCCGATCTTATGGATGAGAAAGACATGGGAAAACAATGGAAGGGTCGTCTTTTGCACACAGCCTTTCCACGGTCTTTTCTGTAAGAGGTCTAGACCTCTTCAAGAGTTGGAACAAAACGTTGAGTGTATGTTTTGACCTTCCACGAAAACATTTTGCACGTCTTGAGTCTTCCAAAGCGCGCTCTGACTTGAACAATTGCTGAAGAGAAAAGAGTACGAAAAAGTTACGAAAGGCTCATGATGGTCATTCTCCCAATGAAAAGTGGGCCCAATCTACTGATCTTTGGGGGTAGAGTTCTGCGTCCCACAGCAGCAATCAGCTGCCAGGAAACTCATGTTGTTCCGTAAAGCTTCGCTGAGGCCCTCCTGCATGGAAGGCGCAGCAAAACGGCCAAAGAAGTATTTTGTGATTTTTGAGTGGCACCGAGGTGAATCAAACACGGTGAAAGACACATGAGCTCCTGTTCTCCTAGAAGTGAATCGTTTGAAGGATGAATGATAGGACCGGCCCTGCCATCCTGTTGTTCTCCTCGAAACATATTCATAGTGACGTCCTGTTTGTAACTGTTCTAGATCAACAGGAACATCAACAGGACCTCAAGTGACTCACGATCCTTATGCCGTAGTTAACAGTTAACTGAAGGATTTCGATGCCAGATTTTTACAGGGACCTGCCCGTGAACTCTCGATCAGGGTCTATGATTTGAAGGAGTCGCTTTCACAAGTTGTGGAGCCCTCCATCGTCTCACAAACTTAAAGCCATAGGGAGGCCATTGCCTTTGGGTTGGAGGCCATTGCTATGGGGTTGGAGGCCATCCCTACTAGGTTGGAGGCCATTGCTATTTCCTCATCTCAGGTGTGGATGGACTTGTCCTTTCTTCCTCCCTTGCCGGAACCCACGCGTCTCGCCGCGGCGGCACGCGGCCGCTGTGATGGAGGCGCCCCACCGGCCCACCGGGTGGAGTGCGAAGTACCACGATATTCGTGGCCAACATCGAGGGACTTGGCGCACTTCCCAACCAACCACAACTGAGCAGCGAACATCCATCCACCCCATCCACCTGATCCGGCCCATCCATCTGAGTCATCCAGTCCACTTTTCTGTCCTACAATGTTCAAATCGTATTCCCCTATGACTCAACACATATCCGCCGGGGGAGCGTGCCAGAGAACACTGCCCCAGTTGGAGAAAGCGACGTGGCAGTCACTCGTCAGAAAGCAACGAGAGAGCAGCTCCGAGACCAAATTTGGGGTGGAATTAGATTGTGAAAAGCTGTGGCGAAGGAGATTGTCGGGAGCTCCGAGCACAGGTCCGAGGACGAATTTTGAATCGTTGGTGGTGTGGACATCGGCGGAGTCCGGGGTACGGACTGCTGCACTTCACCTTGCGCGAGCGCATGAATTCCAAGGCTGCTTCCACAGTACGCGCAACCGGCGTCTTCGTTTGGTTCGTGTTTCATGGTTGTCTTCGTGTCCTCGACTCCACACGGAGCGCAGCAGACTCGCACAGCGCGTGCAAACGAATCTCGCAGCCGGGCCGCATATACAGGTTGCGAATTTATTTCTGTTTTTTGTTTTGTTTTTTATATATTTTTTTGTTTTTCGTGTTTCGTGGCAGGTGCAGTACTTTGTGGACCTTGCAAAGCACATTTCGTGGCAGGTGCAGGACTTTGTGGGCCTTGGAGTGCAGAGTTTGTGGCAGGCGCAGGACTTTTTGTGGGCCTTGAAGTGCAGATTTCGTGGCAGGTGTAGTACTTTGTGGCCTTGGAGTGCAGATTTTGTGGCAGGCGCAGGACTTTGTGGACCTTGAAGTGCAGATTTCGTGGCAGATGCAGGACTTTGTGGGTGTGGAAGTGTAGAGTTGGTGGCAGGTGCAGGACTTTGTGGGCCTTGGAGTGCAGATTTCGTGGCAGGCGCAAGACTTTGTGGACCTTGAAGTGCAGATTTCGTGGCAGGTGCAGTACTTTGTGGATGTTGAACTGCAGAAAGATGGAAAGATAGAAAGATAAATTGATCGATAGATAGATTAGATTAGATTAGATTAGATTAGATTAGATTAGATTAGATAAGATAGATGGATAGAAGATAGAAAGAAAGAAAGAAAGATAGATAGATAGATAGATAGAGGAGCCATATTTGCTTGGTTAGAAAATTTTGCACCGGGGAGTTCACCTTAAAATATTGATTTCGTGGCAGGCGCGGGTGTCGGGGATGAAGTGCAGATTTCGTG